TAAAATAAAAATAAGCTGAATGCTTTTAATTCCTTACAATATCAACTTCTGACGCTGGAGGACTTGATTTGCTCGCATTTACTTAAAAGCCATTTTTGGAGGCAAAAATCGAAGAGGGTAAGAAGGCGGGAAAAATACAACATTAGAATGATAGAGTAGAAAATTAAGTTGAATTGATTGTCAAGCACGAACTCATTCTCCACACACGAAATATCACAAATACAACAACATAAAAATAATGTTCATTGAACATCCGGATTATACCAGAAAATGGGGAATAACGGGAATACTTAAAGGGATACATTGACCAAAAAGAGTAGTATGCAACATTTATTTTATGCAGTATACATAGCATATATGCATAAAATACGGCGCAGAAAGTTTTTTAACACAGCATGATAAAGAAGAAAGCGACGAGAAATTCGAAGAGTCACAGAAAACATATAAAAGCATACAATTAGGTACTAGATAGTACTAGATAGGTAATAACATACAGATATATACCGACATGTAAGAAAATAAAACTGCAAAACAATAAATTACTACAATATTTAGTAACACTTTTTATATATGCGATTTTATGCGAATATTTTGTAAATCGTCGCACTACAGTATTATAACAGCATTTTATATGGGAAATAACAATTGGAAATTGTGCACAGAAAATTTCCCGACGACGCGTGGGTTAAGATCTCTTTTATGTTTGTTTACTCTAAACGTGTTAACCCGAACAGGATATCCGATACACGGAGGAATATCCGCGGACGGTGAAATCGACTGCGGCATAAAATGAAAGTCGCGTGATAGAGAATTTTTGATCAAGAATTTATAATAAATAAATAAATTATAAATAAGCGATAGTCGAAGGTAGGACGAAAAAAATCGAGAGAAAACAAATGAACGGAGACGGAGATAAGTTGAAAGAACATCAAAAACGCAGCCTCGCGCAAAGGGAGCAATTCCGGCGGTTCCCGCGACTCTTACACCCAAATTGGTAAACAGTTGCAAGGTCAGACTGAGGCGTTATCTAGAAGAGGAAGGAATGAAAGGGGTTTTTAATATGTATTTTTTCAGAGTAAATGGGGGGAATCTCGTGGTCAAGACAGTTGTAATGTGAGTATCCAAACAAAGATAAATAACAGTACTCTTTTAGTTAGAAAGAGATGATGGTGAACCGACGCCGGGCGTCGTTGTGGCAACAACATATTTATGGAGTCGTTCTTGTTGTCACTCCGATACTTGTTTGGCGCCTGTCGAATACTAACATGACGATTACAAATCTCCCCCAAAACACCGGGCTCTCATTGAAACCAAGGACCAATCAATAATAAAAAAAAGCCATTAATCTCGTTTTGTATAAATGAATGAGTCCATTAGTTTTTAATATTATATGATTGACCTTCCCTTTCGGTTTGCGAGAGTTGCTCTACTACTATTATTATATGTTGTTATTGACGCATTAACGTCGTTATACATTAAATTATTAATGTTATTCATTAACGTTATTCATTAACGTTATTCATTAACGTTATTCATTATTCATTAGCCTTATTCTCATTAGCGTTATATTCATTAATGTTAATGTTTAAATATCCATGACCTGTAATAATAAAGAATCATAATAAAAAAGAATAAGTATATCATCATAATAAGTATCGTAATAACGATAAGTATAAGTATCGTGGTAAGTGTCGTAATAAGTACCGTAATAAGTCAGTAGCATTCATCCAATATTCTTTTTTTTGCATTCGAGAAGACGGAACTGGGACAGTGGAACAGAATAATCGAGATTTATCAGGATTTATAACAATGTGTTTTTCATAATTGGCGTTCCTTGTACGAATATTATCTTCTGAAACCTATTATAAGTTAAACCTCGAAATAGTCACTTTTTTCTTTCTTATCACAAATTTTCTGGCGGAACATGTGAAAGAAAACAATTTCGATCAAAGGTCACACCTACGTTTCTTGAGTCATATATATCCATCTATATTTATATCTAGGCTGCTAAAGATTTTTAAATTTTATTTTATTTTTTAACCGGAATTCATTCTTACAAGTTTCTACAAGCTTCTATTCTCATATATATATATATATTTATATATATATCATATATATATACATATATATTATAATAAAATATATCGATACGTATAACATATATATATATTTATTTATTTCTGTATTTATTACTCTTATTATATATTATATAGATAACGTGGGAGTGACGTTCCCTCAATTGCTCTCCGAAATCTCCGAAACAAATTTATTTGTCCAATCAGCATGAACAAAGCGTCCTCTGCATATATACAACTGAAAAAAAAAACCAGCCCATTTTTTTTAATCAGCAATATATAAAATCATAACACAATTTTTCCTCTTGATAGTCACCTTTCCCATCAAATATCTCCCTTTCAGGCAAGCTCTTGAGTGCTTCTCCTGCTTCGATATTTCCTTTTACTTATCACGGTACTCATTTGATTATTTATATCAAAGCATATCAGATATTACTTGTTCTCTATATTTCTATATTTTATAAATACAGGTTTAAACAAGTTTTGCTTGGTACTGATAGTTAGTATTTATATATCAAGCGAACTTGACTTTTTTTTCCGCCAAATTTATCCTCAAAACGCTTGGTTTCTTTGGATACCAGGATAAATCCGCAACCTCTTTTGTTACGTGTATATCTTTATCGGTACTACTACGGTCACCTTTTGGTTTCTATCTTGGGTAAGTTGATCGTAAAGTTCTTGCTGCTTATGCTATGACCTTTCAACTTTCGTTCCTTCCATTCGGATTCCATCTGTAGAATTTGTCCTTCATGTCTGTCCCTTGGTTGCCGTTCTTTTTTTTTTATATATATTTTTTTTCCCAGTTGGTTATTTGGTGGGTAAAATTTGTATAGAGTCTTTTTTTCAGCATTTCTCTTTTTGAAAAACAAATATACACTCCACGCATATTTCGTTTAGAAAAAGTGCACAAATCTGAAATTGTTGCACGAAATATTAATCGATGCGCTTCACTATAGCATCGATACAAACCTTTGTTTGCAGGATGCATACCTTTGGTGAGACTTCTGGTTTACAAGGCGTAACCAAACAAAAAAAAAAAAACACTAAATATGCGCATCTTCTGTGACGTATCGTATTGTTTATTTATACGTTTCACTTAACCAAAATATTTCTTCCACGTTGCGACCACACTATTACTCTTTCGTTTGTTTTTTATATTTTTGTATTCTTATTTTTATTTATTTATTTATCTTTTTTTGTCTTTTTTTCTATTTTTTTTTTATTTTTTTTTATTTTATTTTTTATTTTTTATTTTTATTTAATATTTGTGCTATTAAGAATTATTATTACAAAGTAACGATTCTTTCAAGCCGATACAACCTTTATATCGACACAAAACTATCCAACTTCTTTGTCTTTACCATATTTAAGTTTTTGTTCTCTGGTATTAAATCAAGCTCATAACCAATTATACATCGTTTTTTTTTTTTTTTTTTTGTTTATTTAATTTTTTACTTATAGGCGAGTGTTGTACAAAAATATATCCGTATCCCACTTGAAATGTCGCCAGAACCAACTAGCGTCGCGGCCATTTCTCCCACTAGCAATGTTTTCCCTCACAACTTATTCCCCAACCGTAGTTCACATGAAACAAAACGAAATGGTTCCTTGGATTTATTGGTCGCAGCAGCTGTTGCCATAAATTTGAGAGATTCGGACTATTCAAATATAGAGGTCAGTGGCTTATTCCTTACGTATTGTGTAAATGTAAATCAAACAAACAAACAACAAAATCTTGTTTTTCCGTAAATAATACTCTATTAATTATAACAATAATAATAATAGTAGTTTTTAACATTCTTTTCAATTATCATTATTATTACATTACTATTATTACTCCTTTATTACTACTCTATTACTCCTTTATTACTACTTTATTACTATTTTATTACTATTATTATTATTGCTTATTCATTATATATATATATTATTATTTGACTATCTATAGACTGCGAGCAAATCAAGTCCTCCAGCGTCAGAAGTTGATATTGTAAGGAATTAAAAGCATTCAGCTTATTTTTATTTTA